GAGAAGAGAAGAGAAGAGAAGAGAAGAGAAGAGAAGAGAAGAGAAGAATGAAATGGAATGGAATGGAATGGAATAATGAATAGATTATAAAATAGAATATTGAATAGAATATACAATAGAATAATGAAGAAAGAATAGAATAGAATAGAATAGAATAGAATAACAGAGTTGGAAGGGACATTGGAGGTCTTCTAGTCCAACCCTCTGCCTAGACAGGAAACCCTACACCACTTCAGACAAATGGCTGTCCAATCTCTTCTTAAAAACTTCCAGTGCTGGAACATTCGCAACTTCTGGAGGCAAGTTGTTCCACTGGTTAATTGTTCTCACTGTCAGGAAATTCCTCCTTGGTTCTAAGTTGCTTCTCTCCTTGATCAGTTAAATAACCTTGGGTTAATTCCCATCACTGTTTAATCTCTCTTACAGGCTGGCTGTGAGAATAAAACGAATACTCCAGAAGGAAACTTGGAAAATAAGAATAAATTAAAGTTATATTCTGTAGATTGAAGCACCTAATACTATATATGCATATATATATATTTTGCACCAAATACATATATTTTTTGTTTGGAGCCAAAGCAAACATAATGCTTTGTCTCTGCAATTCAAACACGTTGCCCTCTGACAGCTGAGACTAAACTATACCTGAGCTGAAGCGTGCAGCAAAGGAGGCATTGTCTTGCAAATATCTAGTCAATTTCTTCCACCCAGATTCAATACGAAATCCAATCCACTCATTTTTGACTTACCTCCCACTTTTCCAAAAATGGCTTCTTCTTTACCAAACAGATATTAATATTAGACCCACGGTCTTGCAAGAACCTTCATGATATTGTCTGGCTTGTTGACTAATAACCTAGCAACATGCACACACATACACAAAACCCAAATGGAGAGAGAGAAAGAGAGAGAGGGAGGGAGGGAGGGAGGGAGAGAGAGAGCTCTGAATTTGGCTGAATTTGGCTTAATGCCTGAAGCAACTCTTGACTAGCTGTCAACTTGGAGACTGTTTATTCATTTTGTTCCCACTGGCACAAATCTGACCATTAAAACCTTTGCTTTTCTTCTCAACTGCCATAAAGTGGGGTTGCATGGCGGATGTGAAAAAATCTGTATTTATCAAAAGAGGAATGGATGGCCGTGGTTTAAGTTCTCAGATTAATACGTTGCATATTGGAAAAACTTGGCTTTTTTTCTTTTTCTTTTTCATTCATTCTCTCTCGTTCTTTTTCTTGAAAGACTCTAGAGTCAAACTAAGGTAACTGGGTAAACAGGCGAACTTTAGTTAGGCTGGGCACAACTGGGTCTATTTAGGGTTAAATAGAACCTCCTTCAGGTTAGCTAACTAGGTCAATGAATCCCTTTTGGGTGCTTCTGCAAAACTTTCCTCCTGTTGAGATTATTGGGAGAATTGGGGTATCAAATGATTCCTAGTAATGGGCAAACAGTGTGCTACATCGCTGAGGTGATTTGTAGACATCATGCTAGAGCTAATTGTCCATTTTCCATTGAAAAAATAAAAGAGAGAAAGAGAATTATAGAGATGAAAAAAGGAATTATAACTAGAAGAGATAGCTAGATATCTATCTATATCTATATCTATCTATCTATCTATCTATCTATCTATCTATCTATCTATCTATCTATCTCTATCATCTATTGATATTGATATCTATCTATCTGTCTGTCTGTCTGTCTGTCTGTCTGTCTATCTATCTATCTATCTATTTATCTATATCATCTATCTATCTATCACTATATCGATATCTATCTATATCATCTATCACTATATCTATATCTATCTATCTGTCTGTCTGTCTGTCTGTCTGTCTGTCTATATCATCTATCTCTATATATCATCTATCTTTCTATCTCTATTGTCTATCTCTATTATCTATCTATCTATCTATCTATCTATCTATCTATCTATCCCATCTATCTATCATCTCTTTATCATCTATCATCTGTATTTGTCTATCTATCATCCTATTCATCTATCCATCATTTAACTCCATTTATCATCTACCTATCCGTCATCTCTTTATCATCTGTCATCTGTTTGTCAGTCTATCTATTATCCTATCCTATCCATCCATTTGTCTGCTGGTCTCTCTCAATAGATGATGTAGAGGTGAAGGAGAGATGGATGGTGGGGGTGATAGATTGGCAGACCCAGACGATAGTTGATAAGGGATGAGAGAGAGACATAAAAAGGGGATGATAGTTAGGGAAGATGCTCTATAGACAGCTTCCATCTAATAGATACCATTTGGAACACTGTGAATTGGGGCTGTTCGTTTCATCTTTGACTCAAACCATCATTTTTCTGGCTACACAGCAATGGTTCCATCTCATGACTGAGAAACAAGAAGAAACAGTAAATAGTTTTGAACGACAGACGTTTGGTTTGGTCCGTTTGGTTTAAAATGCAGGCCAAACGTTACCTTTGATTACAGAGGATCAAATGGCATATTTTACTGGAAAATATCCTCTCCAGCTGCCACCAGAACTGGGTTACCCAAATTCAGATCGGCGCTAGAGGACAGCAAAGAGCTAAGGCTGCCTGTGAATTTTTGGTCAACTTAAATCTCTGCAGAAGGATCTGATTGCTCTACAGTATATAATCATGGTCAAATTTGAGAAATAACAAGGCCAGATCTCTGAATCCTGAAAATATGAGGACAAGTTCCTCTCTATAGAAATTCAGAGGACCGGCCTTGTTATTTCTCAAATATCTGTTTGTCTGTTCGTCCACTGGATAATTCTAGAATGAAGCCTGATTTGATGAATGGAGAGAAACCAGCTGAAAAAGGAGATAGAACTAGAAGCTAAACCATATAAAGAATGGTTGCTGGAACTGGGTTTGTCTAGTTTAATGAAAAGAAAGACTGTGATATGATAGCAGTGTTCCAATATTTGAGGGGCTGCCACAAAGAAGAGAGGGAGGTCAATTTATTTTCCCAAGCACCAGAAGGCAGGACAAAAAGCAACAGATGGAAACTAATCAAGGAGAGATTCAACCTGGAACTAAAGAGGAATTTCCTGACAGTGAGAAACAATTAACCAGTGGAACAGCTTGCCACCAGAAGTTGTGAATGCTCCAACTCTGGAGATTTTTAAGAAAAGTTTAGACA